ACAGTTAGAACTGGATATGGAACAACGGATTGGTTCAAAATTGGAAAAGGAGTACGACAAGGCTGTATATTGTCTCCCTGCTTATTTAACTTATATGCAGAATACATCATGCGAAAGGCTGGACTGGATAAATCCAAAGCCAAAATTAAGATTGCCATAAGAAATATCAACAACCTCCGATATGCATCTGATGGCAGAAAGTGAGGAGAAATTAAAGAACCTCTTAATGAGGGTGAAAGAGGAGAGCGCAAAAAATGGTCTGAAGCTCAACATCAAAAAAACTAAGATTATGGCCACTGGTCCCATCACCTCCTGGCAAATAGAAGGGGAAAATATGGAGGCAGTGACAGATTATACCTTCTTGGGCTCCATGATCACTGCAGATGGTGACAGCAGCCACTAAATTAAAAGACACCTGCTTCTTGGGAGGAAAGTGGTGACGAACCTAGACAGCATCTCAAAAAGCAGACACATCACCTTGCCGACAAAGGTTTGCATAGTCAAAGCTATGGTTCTTCCAGTAGTGATGTTTGGAAGTGAGAGCTGGACCATAAAAAAGGCTGACTGCTGAAGAATTCATACTTTTGAATTGTGGTGTTGGAGGAGGCTCTTGAGAGTCCCCTGGACTGCAAGGAGAACAAACCTATCCATTTTGCAGCAAATCAACCCTGAGCGCTCACTGGAAGGTCAGATCCTGAAGCTGAAGCTCCAATACTTTGGCCATCTCATGAGAAGACTCCCTGGATAAACCCCTGATGTTGAGAAAGTGTGAAAGCAAGAGAAGGGGACGACAGAGGATGAGATGGTTGGACAGTGTCATCGAAGTTACCAAAATGAATTTGACCCAACTCCAGGAGGCAGTGGAAGACAGGAGGGCCTGGCGTGCTCTGGTCCATAGGGTCACGAAGAGCCGGAAATGACTAAACAACAACAATGTTGTGTGTATCTTGATTGGTTGGTGAGGCCATAGACAACATGTACCTGAAGGAGCAGGAACACCTTGCCCTGCTTGGCTACTCCTGAAAGAGGTCTTGTTGACTCCTTCTTTTGTGCTGTTCCCAAATAGAAGAATCTACTCATCTTGGAGTTGTGTTCAACCTTGTTGACTCCTTCTTGTGTGCTGTTCCCAAATGCAGTAGTAGAATCTACTCATCTTGGAGTTGTGTTCAATTTCTGTTTTCACTGCTTTCTGGAAATGTGTGAAGGGGCCACTTTAAAATTACTTCTTTTGAATGTTGGTACAATGCTTACACTCAACTCCAGTAGGCATTTTTCAGAAGTGCACAAGGAGAGGTCTGGTACCTCCTTGCAGAAGTGTTGAAGTCAGAGATTGTGGAACCCTGTGGGTGGTGAGTTGTGCTTCACATATGGGACAAGAGGATTCTGGCCAATTATTTCAATATTCTGAAATAGATTTAAAGGTTCTAATTCAAATCAGTAGAGCCCATGCTAGGGTAAACACATATCTTTTACCTCTTAAGGGAGCTCCACTTCTAATTATGTGTTAATGTCTAGTTTGACCCTGATTGATGGAGGTTTAAAAACACTTGATGTCCTTGATGTCTGATAGGTGGTGGAATATCAAGGTGCAGAAGCTGAACCTCACAGCCCCACTGACTCTGCTCCCAGATGTGAACTGTCAGAAGGCAATTGAAATCCTCCGTGAGAAGTCACATGACCAGGCGCCTGTTGTGGCTGAATCAGGGTAATGTTCCTGTTATCTATTTCAGCATAATGTGCTGATCTGCACAATGACTGAGATCCTGAAATAAATGAATATGCTCAGGGCCTGCATGTGGAGGACTCTCAGAGACCAGGAGTCAGTAAAATTTGGCTTATGCTTTTGCTGGAACCTTCTTCCAGTCAATTCGCTACAAAATAGCTGAATTTCAGTGGTGTGGTAGCAGCAGAAAAGCAGCCTCACCTCAGAGCCTAGTGTGTGGGAAAGTATGCACCTTGTACTGTATTTAAACCATAAACAGCTTTGTGCTTTTGTGCAGGCACATCTTGGGGATAGTAACTCTCAGCAACATCCTCTCCTCAATCCTGGCAGGAAATGCTCAGTTCTCAGACTCCATCATGAAAGTCATTTGCCGACAGTTTTCAAAGGTAATTATCATTACTTAATATTATTTGAAGTCCATGTTTGTCTTCATATCACCAATTGCAAAAACAAAGCAGTGAATTTGCAACATGTACAGTTTGGAAGTGTTGTATTAGGATAATCAGTCCTCTTTTACTTCCTAAGAGAGATCAGTTAACTGTTATTATCTGGTTTAACCTTCAAATACTGCTGCCTTTTGTAGGCACAACTCTGGCATAAATTGGTGGGAGTACAACTCTGATGGTTTTATTCTAAATCTGAAAGCTTCTAACAGTATGGGGTGCTTTCAGATTAATAGTTCCTGTTGCTGCCAGCCAGAAGACATTGTACAGTGGTGCCCCGCTTGACGATTACCCCGTTAGACGTCAAAATCGCTTGACGATGAGTTTTTTGTGATCGCTATAACGATCCCAAAATGATTATTCCAATGTGTTTTTTTCGCTTGACATTGATTAGGAGCCTGCTTTGGGAACCGTTTTTTTGCATTATGACGATTAAAAACAGCTGATTGTCAGGTTTTCAAAATGGCTCCCTGCTGTTTTCCGGACCTATTTCCGGAAGACAGCGATGCAAAATGGCTTCCCCTATGGAGGATCTTCGCTGGACGAGCAGGTATTTCACCCATTGGAATGCATTGACCGGTTTTCAATGCATTTCAATGGGGTTTTATTCTAAATCTGAAAGCTTCTACACAATATGGGGTGCTTTCAGATTAATAGTTCCTCTTGATGCTAGCCAGAAGACATTGTACAATCTATTCTGTCTTTCCTTTCTTAATGATTTGTTTGTGGCAAGATAAAAGAGTCAGAAGAAACAATGGGAAGATACAGAAGGTCTACAAATAGAGCACTATGTCAAACCTCCTGCCCCTGAAATTCTGTGAATGAGGCAGGGTGATTGGTGATAATAATGTTTCTCTGGGAGCACCATAAATTTGAAGAATAGTTTCATTGCAGGTCATCGTAACTGATTATAAGAATCACAGCAGCTTGCTATGTAGGAACATGCAACAGCTGTGTACACCATTCAACCTGTAAGTTTAAATTGGGGTGGGTGATTTTTTGATAATATTGTAGATTACAGAGGTGAGAAACAGAAGTTAGCAATAGCCTATGATTAGAAGAAAATTCTCAAATAATGGAAGTGTTAGTGTCACAGCAGGAATTTCTCTCATTCCTAGGATTTTAGAAATAAGCTGACTTTGTTCGGTGAATTAATCTTCTGTAACTACACAATTCTTATGAAATTCCCCCCAAAAGACTGCCTCAGTCACGTCTGTACCCCTAAAGTCCTTTCATCTCTAATTAAGGTGAAGGATGCATCTGTTGGATTTGTTGGGGGTAGTTTGTTTGTTCGTTTTAGTGCTGCATTTCTGCTGTAAGATCAGCACATGAGCTGAACCCTCCATGTTGAGGCTTCACTTCACAGTTCTTCTCCCACAAGAGTTTGGGAAAATACAGCCTCAGCATGGAGTTAATTTATTACAAACAACAGGCATAAAATGAGCCATGTTGGATCAAATGGAAGACCTCCATGGTTCAGTATTCTGGTCAGACAGCAGCCAACCAGTTGCCAATGAGAAAGCTTATGCTTCCTAATTCTATGTGGCTCCAAGAAAGGGTTGCACTTCATAGGGTGGTTTTACGCATGTCATCTGGATCCCTGGAGTGTTAGTGATAGCTTACATCATTTCATGTTTGGGACTTCTGTACAGATTAGCCTGGATGATACCCTTGGAAAGCTTTCAACCATCCTGGAAAATGATCACCTTGCTGTTGTTGTACATGAAGTGGAGCAATGTAAGTAGTTTTTTTAAAAATAACAATAATAAATAATGACAAGCTGTTGATTAAAAAAACCCACAAAGCTAGAGTTTATATCATGCATACTAGAGCAGTGGTCCCCAACCTTGGGTCTCCAGATGTTCTTGGACTACAACTCCCTGAAGCCTTCACCAGTACTTCTGCTAGCCAGGATTTCTGGGAGTCCATGAACATCTGGAGGCCCAAGATTGGGGACCACTGCACTAGAGTTTATATTGTGAATCTTAACTACCCAGTAGTACCTATGTTTTGTACATCACCTGAAGAGAAATGGGGCTCGGGGGCTGCCCTGCTACTGAACCTACCCCTGAATTCACTTAAGGCCACTCATCTTCTCACCATTATCTGTGCAATAGATGTGGCAATCTTGAAAAGCCATCCACTTGCACTTTTAAATGTGTAGACTATCCACCCATACTGGAATTCAAGGGCCAGCCATCTATCTTTGGCTGCTGCTAGCACCACATATCAGTGTTGCACAATTCAGAATCATGGATGCACATTAAATATAGATGATTTTTTAAAAAAAATTAAAATGTCAAGGCAATCGAACTATTTTTGACCAGAAGTAGTCAGAGCTGCAGATGTATGCAAAAACTTTTCCTAGAGTTCAGCAGTTATCCAGGGGCTTAGCGTCCATGAAGTATGTGGGTTTGATGGTGTTCCAGTGTAACACTTTGGGAAATGAAGGATTTGCCGGCTGCACACCTGAGTGTAATCATAATGTTTTCCCTCTCTTTGGTGAGGCTCCTTCGCATTGATTTTTCAGATATTTAAGTCCCAGGCTGGCTTAAGGTTTATTGACAGTAGGCACTGAGGACCTTGATCAGGATGCAAACTACCTTAGCTGTGTTTGAAAATTTCCTGTCAAAATTCACAGGGCAACTTTGTCGTGATTAACTTTAAGTCTCCTCGATGTATGCAGGCAGATCTTAAAGAAAAAGTACATTCCTAATTTCAGTTTGGGTACATCACCAATACGTTACCTTTCTTCATTTTTGTGTGACTCCAGACAATGCAGGTGGTAGCTCCTTCAAGAAACAGATAGTGTTTGCTGTGGCCAGAGCTGCTGACCTTCTCAGTTTTGTTGCTCCAAAGGAGAAAAACGAAGAGCTGAGAGATGTAACACCCCAAATACCTTCTTTTGAAAGAATCATCTCTACAGCACACTCAGAAGAAAAATAACTGTAGACTTTAAAGTACAATATTCTGGTTTGTTTTACGATATAGCTAAGCTTTCTATTTTAACTTACCTAGCCGTTTTTGGACATGCCAAAATTTAATGCCATCCTAAATGCCACCAGAGGAAATAATCTAGAATCAGAATGAACTTGTTAAGAAATGTTAAAATTAAAATAAGCTGCTGTGGTGGTAAGATTCTTGGGATGAAAAGATTAGAAGCAAATGAATTCTATGAGGTTTTGCTGAATTGATATCTGACACTTTGTTTGCATTAACATTGACTGATAAATACATATCAAAATCTGCTGGCAGAGGAAAAATGCAGTTGCAAAGGCTTTCTCACAGAACCAGTGATGGAAGGAAAGTCTGAACTGATAATGTTGGCAGAGGAATGGGGTAATATTCCGCTTTTGTTCTTGGGCAGACTTGTTTCCACCACCCCCTCACAACTATCTGTAGGATGTTGCACTAACTTCTCAAAATGTTGAGCAAGAAAGGTTTCCAGACCTAGGAAGCTACACACATATCCACTTCCTATTGGTTCCTACCAATAGCAGCTGGTGTCCAGTGTGGTTGTTGGGGTAGACAGCTAATCACAAAATGGTGGGTAAAAACGGGGCCACTGCACAGAGACAGACAAATGTATTGTCTGTCCCACAGAAACAGAGGCAGCTGCAGTGACATCCAGACACTGCTCAGTCACACCCTGTTTATGACTCTGCTGAGTAGAATACACATTCCTTCCCTAAGTAGAAGTGTACTTATATGCTGTTGCTTTCTTCTCCCTTCTCACTATAAAAACTCACAAAGAGGAACACAGGTGGGGCCCTCACTACCACCTCCAATAAGGAGGCAGGTAGAAGTGAGTTTGCCAGGGTTGCCTAAACCCAAGGCAGAGGAGTGCCTGATCTGTTTTAATGGGCCACCATCCGATATTGCACATGAAGACAACTCTGAGGAATTCTGTCCTACATCACACTGACATATTGGCCACTTGTGTACACCCCCTTGCTGTTGCCTCAACCAACTGTATTCTATGGGACAAAAAACACTCTCTTCATCACAGCAAACTTCCATATATAATGGTTGCCTTCTTAAGACACACGAGAGGGCTAGAGATTCCAATTCTTCTTCACTGTACTGCATGGGTCCTATCTCAAGAATGGTGTGGAACATGTTAGAGAAATAAACCTCATGCCAGTTGATGCCCTGCTTTAGACTTTTTTTTTTGGCTGACTAGGAAACTCATACAAAGTATTCATGGAGCTGGATTTTTTAAAAAGGAATTTTGCTAAAAGTAGGTTGGCCCCAATTCTGAGAGAAGTTTTTCATCTTTCATTTGCATTGAATACAGTGGGAACCTGGACTCTAAATTATCTTGTATGGGGCAGGTAGCCCATGGTATACTTGAACACGTCTTCAGATAGGTTCTTGCTCTGTGAATTTTAGTATGTGTTGACTGGAAAAAGCCACTCAGAATTGGACAACAGTAGTCAATCAGTCTTCCGAAAACTTTTTCTGTATTGGGCTTGTCCCAATAGCTGTCAAAGATCTCTTGGGTAACATGGTCATTATCTTTGTAATTGTTGTGTAATATGTGATTTTTATGTATTGTGCAACTGGTTTTTAAAGTGTTGAATAAATGACAGGATTTTAGAGTTGGAAGGCATCTGTGATCAGGTTCTTTGCTGTAGGCGGTCCCACATTTTGGGCGGGAATGAGAGTCGGAGGCGAATTTAAAACTTCAACAGAGTCCTTTTAATTTTTCAACATCTCAACCTCAACAGTTTCAAATGGGTCCATTAAACTTAACTCTGGCAAAACTTTGTAACTGCGGACCTTGACATCAGGTGTCACCAAGTCACTCCTTACATCCGGGCTGGTCCAAAACGCTCCCAATCTGTCATAGGTCTCAAAGGAGTGCACCGTACTGCGCAAACCGTGCCATAGCACGGGTGTCTCGCCCAGTCCCCCTTGCGGGATTGCTGATGAAAAGAGGGATTGGGATGGATTACCCTCCTTCCCCCCATGCTGATTGTGTGGGTAAACCACCACTGTCCATTCTAAAGGCTCGAGTGGCTCACCACTGATCTTGTCTCTGAAGGGTTTGGGAGTAAGCCTCCTCCTATTCTCAGGTTGGAGAACTTTCTTATTAGTTTCGCCACCTCATCTCACTCCTCCTCTTGCCTGTACTACTTGGTCTCTTGTCTCCTTTCGTTACTCGCCCATTAGCACAGTGAAATTACACTACACGGGCTTTCCCCCCCTCTTTTATCTCCTCCTCCCAGACAATTAAATCCAGCTCCTCCCCCTTGTCGTCAGCCAGACAGACCTCTAACGCTTTTCTTTCCTCTCCCTCCTCCTCCTCTATTTCCACTAGAATTCCCTCTGCGCAGCCATGGTCCTCCTCAATGGTCTGCGCCGTTGAGGACGGCACACTGCTGGTTCCTCCTTCACACACACCCTTTCCGAGTGGGCCATGCTCTCCTTGGGATTCACTGCACAGATTCCCTGTCGGGAAAAATAATTGGCGTTAGCACACGCACTTCCTTTCTTATACTGTACGGTAAATGTATATGGTTGGAGACTCAGGCACCACCGAGTCAATTGAGGGTTGGTATCCTTCATCCTATTTAGCCACTGCAATGGAGCGTGATCCGTGATCAAGGTAAATGGTGCACTGAGTAAATAATATCTTAATGTTTGTATTGCCCACTTAGCTGCTAGAGCTTCTTTTTCTATTGTCACATATTTCTGTTCTCGTGGTTTCACAGTGTGAAACACATTAGGGATGCAGTAAATTGGAAGGGTTTCTCCCCTCCCCCCTTGGGACTAGTGATTCATATGTGGTAGTGGCTGATTCCAAGTGGGACTGCCGTTTAGACAAAGAATTAAAACCCCACTTCCCCAAAAACAGAAGCTCAGTCCGTCTCAACCCAGAGACAGGAAAAGTTGCCTTTCAGACCCACTACTATTGGCATCCTGCAGCCAGCAGGGACGTCGGCAGGTGGACCCTGGGAGTTGCATTCCCAGTTTTCTCCAAAGTCTTTGCTTTCCCATTCTTGGTTTGCTTGTTAGCAAAAAGGAGACCAGCCCAGATGAAGCAAACAGAGGCCTCCATCCGTACAGTCCCTCTGCTTTGGCCCTCCCTCATGGCCGAATGTCTGTACAGTATTTTCCCATTTGTGCAACTCTCTGTCATCCCTCCTCACAGGCCCTGTGAGGCTCAGAGGGGGAGAGGACGAAGCAAAAAGAGGCCTGCCATCCGTACAGTCCCTCTGCTTTGGCCCTCCCTCATGGCCGAATGTCTGTACAGTATTTTCCCATTTGTGCAACTCTCTGTCATCCCTCCTCACAGGCCCTGTGAGGCTCAGAGGGGGAGACTGAAAGCTCGGGGGGGGGCTGAAATTGATTGGGATCTAAGCACGTTTAGCAGGCAGGAATGGACGTTGAGCAGGTTTTCTTTCCTTCTTTCCCTGTGGTGACAAAGTTAAGCAATCATTGCTCGGGTGTCATCTGGATTTTACTGCCTTTCGGTGACGACCTTCATGCCCTCTCTGACTTCCTCCTGATTTTGATCTATGTTCTGAGATGTTAACATGTTTGTGATTGCGACTAGAACATAAGTAGGTCTTTAATTATAATTACCACCAATTATCACCAGAGTTTGAAGTGTGGGGGCAATTTCGGTGGCATAGCTTGAGCAAGACAGTGGCACAAGGCAACCCAGGCCCACCCTCTCCCCAAGCCGGATGATGACCCAGAGAACAGGGAGGTGTGAGAGACTAGCTCCTTTTTGCAGAAGAATTTGATAGCATTCCAAATTTATTTCTATTTTAGATAGGTTAAAAAACTTAAAAGCTAGTAAGTGGGAGAAACAGAAACCAAGAGACTTCTTTATTCAGACCACAGGCCAAAACTTTGAGTGCTGAACTCTGTAAAGGATGGGTTTGATTTCCAGTATATTCAGTCATATTTGTGCAAAATTAGGGTTGCCATATCTCCCCCGCCCCAGGGCTACTGATCTTAAACCCCGGCTTGCACCGAAATGAGGTGTAACATTGTCTATGCTAGGAATTGCTGTACTTTTTGAATTTGGCAGGGACACAAAGAGAGTGTGTGTCATTTCAGCTCAGTCTTTTGAAGAAAGTTGTAAAATGTCCATTCTTCCTAATTGGCAGCAGAAGGAACTTGAGACTGAAACATGCTGAACACATGAGACCATGATATGAGCCAAAGTTTCCAGTGCAAGAGAGTGGCAATGGCTGAGAGCAAAGGAGAACCGATCAAGGGTTAAGTCAATGGACCTGCTTGGGCCTGTGGGGGTTCCCTTGGCTGCTACGAGGGCTAAGGGTGCAGCAAGTCATTTTTCATTGTGAGGCAAGCAACATACATTGGAGAGTATATAAAATACATAGTTCATACCTTGGACTATGGAGTAACATTGGAGAGGGAACACAGTTGAGGGATAGATTGTCATACAACAGGCTTTGAAGTGAACGTTTTTATAAGTAATAATGTAAGAATAGATGTCTATATTCTAACTAGAAACTGTAGTTGTGAGGGTTCTTGGTTAAAAATCTTTAAAAAGTATTTTTTTTTCATTATTATTTACCAATATTTTCCAGCTATGAACAATGAATTGTGAGATGGACAAACAGTGTTCCTCAGAATGTTGGAGGAACTGATGACCTATTGAGGGAGGCCAACAGGAGCAAAATGTCTCTGCTGGCCCTCCTCGATATCTCAGCCACCTTTGATACTGTCGACCACAGTATCCTCCTGGGGAGGCTCTCCGAGTTGGGAATTGGTGGCCTGGCTTTTGCCTGGCTCCATTCCTTCTTGGAGGACCGTCCCAGGAGAGAGCATATTGGAGAGTTTCTCGGCCCTTTGGAGCCTCAGTTGTGGGTTTCCACAGGGCTCGATTATCTCTCCAATGCTGTTTAACATCTATATGAGGCCGCTGGGCGGGGTCATCAGGGATGTGGGGCTTTGTGTCATCAGTACGCTGATGATACTCAGCTCTACATCTTTTTTCCAATGACAGTGGATGCTGTTTCGTTTCTTGAGCGCTGCCTGGAGGCTGTTCAGCAATGGATGCAGGAGAACGGACTGAGGCTGAATCTGGGCAAGATGGAGGTCCTTCGGGTGGGTGTCCCAGACATCAGTAGTTTGGGAAACTTCCTCTCCTTTAGACACTCTCCCACATGAGAGTGCTGGTAAACCATTTCTCATGACTTTATATTTAGAAAACCCTGGAAGGGTGACCATACTGACTTGATGGTTCATAATCATTATGTACCTAAAGAACAGTATATCT